CATCCGTCTGCTCGTTACAGAGGGGTCAGCAGGAAGCAGACTAAAGCGCGACTCCAGTTCGCGTATCTTCGACCTCTCTAATTGCAATTCATTCCGAAGGTACAAAATATCACGCGATAGCAATTCATCTAGTTCGGCATCGCTGTATTCCTTTTTGTCCACTAGTGGAATGTGACCTCTCTCCGCCTAACAGTCAATTCAACTACAATACTAATAACCCACTGAAAGTGCTGAATTATGCATAGCAAAATAAAACTCGTCTTCGTTCTTATCCAACGCTTTGCGCTTCAAATCACGAAGTCGATTTCGTTTAGTTTCATCGTCTCTACAACATCATCACACCTAAAACAGCTCCAAACCTAGCGCGAAGAATAAAATCTTTCTTTTTGGGCAGAGGTCCCAATTTCGAACGAGCAGCCGGCTACAGTTAAGCAATACAATCAATAACAACAAGGGCGTACTTGAGACCTTTCTTTGTGCAACCGCGCGTTCCGTTTCTGTATATTCTTGAAAGAAGCAAACGGCATGACTTCCACACCAAATTCAAAAATGCCGCACTGGAATGAACCTGAGTCTCAACTACAATTCTATTGGTATGTTTCTCTCACCTACTATTGACTTACCTTGATGTAACAAATCAATTTTCCAATTGCTAGATTCGCGTAACATTTACGTTTGCATTCATTTCCGATTCAAGACCTAATCTTTTAAAATACATAATTAATTTACAGTGCGTTAGGCAATGCATTGTTCTTTAGCCACATCTTGTCTTTTTTCTCAATTCTATTTCAGCTAACATATTTCAGAATATTCTGTTTTGTAAATGTATTCCATTAACCTTAGCCTGTCTACTCTGTATTGCTAGCTGTGTGTTTTCTGCCTTTTCTACATTTGGTGTTGTTTTTTTTGTAAAAAAAACGTGCTTGTTTTCATTAATGTGTAGGTTTATTTTAATTTGAGATGAAATTAACATTTGATATTGCGGCTTTGGTTTATACAAGAGTTTTAAATTCATAAGCGGCATACGATTTCATTAAAAAAATAATTTTTTGGTGTCATGTAGCAACAAAATGTGTTTCCCGACTATGATGTCTGTGGTCGCCATGCTGATGCTTTTACATTGACTTTTCAGTTGCCCTTAAATTAGCATTTTGGCGATTTGCGTGACTTACCTTTACTGCTAGCAGCCTGAGGTTCTTCTAAGCCTGCAAAAATTATTCAAAGATGATCAAATTAATTATTGAATTTAGAGATAATTTAGACTTAATTGGCTATGTAGGCGTCAGGGCGTTTAAGTTACCCCAAACCTTGCCTTATTAAAACCCTTAAATTACTTATTTAGATTAAACCTAGTTACCATAATCGTTGCAAAAAATTTTTGCACCTCCCACCGAGTTTTGAAATACAGTAGGTATTTGGAACCCGAGAAACTAATCACAAGGCCACAAAAATGATAGCCAGTGTAAATGCCTCAATTAAGGAAATTAAAATTTTCTTGCTTCTACAAACACATCATTTCATCTTAACTGCAAACAAGACAGGAATTAGTATGTTAGGGGCTATGAAGCTGTTCATCTTCCTATTTTTTTCCCATATGTAAATATATTGATGGCATTATTTAATTAATAAACGTGTCTAAAGCTTAATCGTGACTCATTTAGGATGATTTTTAGAAAATTCTGAATGCTTATATTTACACTCTTAAATGAACAGGCTGACAGTGAACGAAAATTTAAAAAAAACATTTCTGGTCAATATTTATGGAATACTTGGCAATATTCTTAATAAACCTTTTTTTCATCTGCTAACATTACTATAACCATGAGCCTTTGGCATTCATTAGTCTAGTGCTGAAAAAATGCTTATCAAAAATTTGTTTCTATGGTGATCTGCCGCTAAGTTAACTGAGCGGGTAAGCACCACCCAGATTCTCAAGAAAAAAGATGACCGGAAACGGCTAAGTCTCAACCGCTTATTAACCACCATTACCTAGAGTTTTTTGTTACGTCAGTACACCAAAATTAATTGTGATTTACTAATTATTTTGTTGTTTTAGCTGCAAAAATTGGCTGAATGGTCGGATGATTAAAGCAGACAGTGTTAGAAAAACGTGGTTTATTAGCATCCTGTTTTGCAAGATCAACGGTGTGGTGCGAAAATGATGCCAATGTGTTGATAAATGGTACGACAATATAAATGGTCACAACAGATTTAGCAGTTTATCTAAAACGCATAACACAGTCATACTTAAAGAAGGACCTTTTTAGTGGCATATTGGCATCAATAAGCATTCTTTCGGTGTAAGATTAATCGCATACTGACACAATAAATTAACCAACGACGTAAATGTTTTGCTATAATAAATGTACAATTAGGGCCTTTGTTTTTAATGGCAGTCATCACGTGCATAACTAACTGTACTGGCAAAGTCTAGACGCAAAATATGCACAAATGTTGGACTTGCTACAACTAATTTTTTTAAACTTTGTTGCATGGGTATTCCAATTGCCTTTTTAGTCTTCGAAATATTTCTAATCTTACTATTTATAACATTTGCACTGTAAAAAAATGATATTTGCATAATTCTAAGTTGCTTGAAATTTAAATCATATAGGTCTGTAAACATGATTGAAACCCCAGCTGAACTAAAGCGAAGTAATTATTGACGAAGTCATAACTGCATTTTATTAATAAATGAATTAGATTAAAAAGCGGTTGCAATACGTGTTGTTTATAAAAGGATGTTGTGCGCAACAAAATTAGCAATTATTTCTTTGTGGATAATTTACATTATTTACTTAGCCGCTATTGGCAGGCCAAAATTGGTCACTTCGGCCTCTGAGTGCACAATGAGCCGGAATGCAAAAAACTTCATTGATAGGTTGCGGATATATGTAAAGTCTGGTTCTGGAAGTGCTGGTAACCCTGTGATTCGTGGAAAAGGAGGCAACGGTGGAAGCGTTTATCTTCGTAGCAAGGAAGGGCGCACTCTTTCTGATGTTTTAACAGAGTTTCCCAAAAAGCGTTTCATTGTATGCGAGGTGTATATTTTTCGTTGTAATCTGCTGGTCGAAGTCTAAGTTATTCTGTGCTTTGTAGGCAGGTCCAGGACGTCCGTGCAGTTCTCGACGTGGGACCTGTATCGGAACCAATGCTAAGGACATCGAAGTGGTTGTACCGGTTGGAATTACCGTCTCGTGCAGCAATCCTGGGCAGCCAAGTAGAATAATCGGTGACCTTGATGAGCCCGGTCATCGATTGCTGGTGGCCCAAGGCGGTTTCGGTGGGTCTGCAGTGACAAATTACCTTGGAACACCCGGTGAAGCCCGTTCAATCGTTCTTGACCTCAAGGTAGTGCCATATCTTCTTGTGCTCATTTTTTTGTCAAGTTAATGGCAGACTTCGGTCTCATTGGGCTACCAAATGCTGGCAAGTCCAGCTTGCTTCAAGCAATCTCTGGAGCTAAGGCGAAAATCGCTTCCTACCCTTTCACAACGCTTCGGCCTCAAATTGCAACAATTAAATTCCCCGACCATCGAAAGATTACGATGACAGATTTGCCAGGTAAACTTTGACACCATATTTTATTCTAAAAGCGAGGCTCTCACGCTACACCTGAAAGGTGTATGAATAATCTGTTATTGCGGTTCTGTGAACTTATGGCTACTTTACATGTCCCATTTTTTTGTTTCCGTAAAGCTCTCGATCAATCTAATGTCACTTGCTATTGCCCCGACCCATTTTCAGATATTCTAATTGCTACAATGTCGGTTTATGATGGGAAAAATTCGGCTAAATGCGGTGCTGTGAGGATCTACATGGAATTTGGTTCTCTCCTTTTTTCTCACCACCGATTCAAGCAACTTCCTTTTCGTTAATTTAAATAAACCTTGTCATATATTGATACCGCGGGACGTTAAGCTAAAGAAGGTGTCTCACACTCAGCTCTCAGGTCTGGTTTCAGACACACTTGAGCCCTTTGTTTTTCAGCTGTGAGTTTTTCCATAAAGTAAAGAGACGAAGCTTGAGCGTCAGAAATATAAGCCACTTTGGGTTTCGTGAAAAAATGTAGCTCTTTAGCTACCCTTAGGTGGAAAACGCCTATGAAATCTGCTCTTTTTGGTAATTTCCAGGAATGGACCTAACCACATTGCCTTTACTTCTCTCTTTAGGTCTTGCAGACATCGCCGCCAAATTTGACCCCTCTACAATTTCATCAAGCGACGACGGGAGTGCCCAGCCACCACTGAAACACACGGCCTTCTTGAAGCACGTCGAGCGCACCTCGTGCCTTCTCGTCGTCCTTGACGCTCTTGGCTTCAGGGCAAATCAGCACGCGCCCTTGCGAAGTTCACTGGCGTGCGCCATGCTCGTTGTCAGCCAGCTTCAGCGCTATGCTCTGGGTCGCCTTCTTGGCAAGCCCATGTTGTGCGTCATTAATAAGGTGAGTCCATATCTCTGAATGCCGATTCGTTCAAGCGCACAACCTCTGGTTGCCTTGTTTTGCCTCACACTTTCCACAAGTCATTCCAGATGCCCAGTTAACTAAATCAAGTCCCAAAGTAGAAGAAGGTGAGACGGCAAACCAGGAATTGATTAACATTTTCACATAACTAATTGCCGCTTCGTCTGGTATTTGTGTGCAAAATTACAAGATGCGAATCGTGTTAGTCAAGAAAGCTCTTTCTCCAATCGCAGTAGCTCTGTAAACGCGACCACGCAAACAGTAACACTGTCTCTAGCAGTAGGATAAACGGTTGTGTCTCCGCTTTGTCGAAATCGTCTGTTATGTTTGCAAACGACCATCAGGATTGTAGAGAAGCTTTGGGAGCATTTAGTGTACAGCCCGTGTCCCTTGTAGATCGATCTGCCCTATGCACAGGAGGCAGCCGAGGAGGCGCGAGAGGCCCTCTTGAGTGCCGACTACGACGCCGTGAAGAAGGCCAGTGGCCTGCCGAGTGTGCTGTTGCCGCGACACGAATTCCGCTTCGAAGACGTCTTCCTCGTTTCCGCGAAGGAGCGCAAGAACCTACCGGGTAAGTGATTTTGGAGAAGACCGTGTGTGGTGATTTGCTGCTATTTGGTAACCCGCCCTCCCTCCCCCCACTTTTCCCCTCTAGAACTCAAAGATGGGCTTCGGAAGTGGCTCGATGTGATCGAAATGAGGCGCCGACAGTCAGACCTCGATGAAACCGAAGCCTCGTGCAGGCAGAGTGTCCAGTCGGCGTTGAAAGACTACCTCCCTACCACCTCTTAATGTGTCGTTGCTGGCTACCTTGTAAATAGACCCTGTCAGCCGCGAAAGTAAAGTAAACCCAAATTACCAAGTAGTAACGCAGCATTTCTCTAACTATTACCACCGTTATATTATGTGGGGCTTCAGACACGATAGTTTTGCATGCATTCGCGGTCCGTCTCGTAGGTCTGGCACAGGCGTGTCTGACAAGAAACGAATAGCTGGAGTAGCCGACCGCCGTTGAGTTTCCGTGAGGTGTTTCTGAAGTAGGCAGTCTCAAAGGAGAAGCCGATGGCGTTGCGAGAGACAGGATGCAGGTGAATTTGAGCATTCGCCGGACACCTTGGGGAATTAAAAGGCAAAAAACCGGCTCATCATCTGACTCCGCTCGATCTACCACCGTGGCAGACGCCATCGCTGCGTCTGCGAATCGAAGGTGAAAACCCCTCACACGAACATGGGTGGCTAAGACTAGAATATCGCGGTCAAGAGTGAGGAACATGTCAATTGGCCTAGTTTTCTAGTGTAGGCGACTGTTGCTCTGGTCATCCATGAATTGACAATCTTCCATTATCCCTCCGATAACGCCAAAGTTGATTGAGGCGGCTGTTCTAGTAACTATATTCGTTGTGGAACGGTTAATCTGGTTCGGATCACGCCTCATCATTCCAGAAGTAACGATCACTTCTGTCCCTCCCGCGTGCTTTCTACTCCACGACCACTTCACAGGTAGCCACTTGGATGCGAATACTATAGGCAAGTTCAACATATCGACCCGTCTGACACTCACCCATCTTTGATAACCGCGATGCGTCCAGCGCCGGTTTCATTGGCGGAGAGCCAACAGTTGCGAAGAACAAGTTTGCTGTTCCACTCGGCACGTTTTAGCGAAACCAGCGCGAACACCCTGCGATGCGGGAGGATGTTCAGACGATCGCTTATGCGCCTCTGGAAGCTGTAGCAGAAATACCAAATTACCAGATAAGTTGGCTAAACACAGCTGGCTAGCGAAAACTCGTCTGACTCTTGTGCTACCCCCAGAGAAAAACCTACCTTACTAGATCCATAATCGGTAATGATATCTCGGGCGGATTAAGACACGAGACTCAGGCTTGTGACGTGTCATGAATTAATTGAAAGTGAACTCACAGGCGATCCGAGTAGAAGGCTATCTCGGTGGGTGAGGTGCGAGTGGCTTCGACGGGGGGGAGCACGCTTGTTGCCACCGCCTGGACGTCCGACTGCACGGAGTCCGTTCGTTCCAGGAAACACGTGACCGGCAGCACAAACGGCTGTGTCCGATTGAACATCAGTGAGAGGTGAATTGCCAGGGTCGTCGAGTTACTCTAGAAGATCAATAAGAGGAGGAGAATGAGAAGCGGAAGAGAAGGGCTTGTGAAATCAGAAGAGGCATGAAGAGTTGTCGGGAGCCTACCCGTTCGTAGGTTCCACCGCATCTTTCCATGGGGAAGGAGACAATCACCTCGGCACCCTCACGGACAATGTCGAATTCGCAACCGAAGGGCAGGCTGCGATTGAGGTGGATCATCTGTGACGAGAGATCACCCATCTGGTCGGCTTTGAATCGAATCGTGGCTGTCTCGCCTTCACACGAGAGGCTGGTCTCAATGGCTTGTGTACACAAATGAAACGCGCGTTAGGTAAAAGCCTGTGTGCATATCAATTGAATGCCGTCTGCGTGGACAATTACAGTGTTGGGATGCAATAATGGTTATGTCAGGTCTAGAAAACTACCGACGCGAGCTAAGTAGATGAAAATCACAGCTTTGCAACAGGCAATACGCCCTTCATAGTCATCCCCCTCTCCAGCATCACCAAGGTAAACAAACACATGGACGTGTGCGCGCATGCGTGTGAAAATCACAAGACACGCCGTCCTGGATGCCGAGACATTGACGCCTGCTAGAACTCCAAAATTGGCGTCTTTGAAACCTTTATGGCATCTGGCGGGAGAGTTGGTCAACTCCTACGTAAAGAGAACTGTCAGATTTGTAATGCACTTGATTCAGCCAATATTGGTAAATCACATTGGACGTAATGACTAAAAATGGGGGCGAAACGGACATTCACTAACGTCAAATCGTGCACTGTTTGAAACCGAAAAGTGAGCAGTAGAAGGCGTCTAAAACAGGGGGAATTCTAGCCCAACCACACAGAAGACGCACATTTTAGACACATCAGTGGCACTGTATTGTAGCTGCTTGAGAGCATCGAAGCGGCTAAAAGACGGGGCTTATTGACAGTCCTTCACCAGGTCGTCCATCAGTCGCGTTACCTGGTTCAAACACTTCCTTTTTTTCAAGAATCAATTGTTTTTGCCACATAGTCCCTCGTGTTGTGGTAAAGAGACTGTTTAGTCTGCATCAAGTGTCGCATAAATATCGCGATTTACGTGGATCCGGTGTACACAAACAGAATTCACTCGAACAAATAAAACCAGTATCCAAAGTCGCGAGAATATCCCTAACCTTTCCCTGCTATTCATCATAAAGTGACACGTGCTCCAAATTAAAACGATTTCTCTAAGATGCATTTTTCGCTGTCGACAGTTTGTATCACTGATGACCCAAATCTTTTTGTAGGCTTCTATAAATTCGGAGTGGTTTAGAAAACAATTTTATCAAACTTGTTGAATAATTAATTAATAGTAGAATTTGCGAGTTGGTTGACGACTTTTTAGCAGGAAAAGTGGCCAGGCAGGGCGATTGGCGCTGTTGTATAGTCAACCAACTTGTCTCTTAAACAACAGATACACATTCTGCCTCGTTTTCGCAGAAAATTGAAAGATTTTCGTAATATGGATGTAAACACACCATCCAAATCATCCTACTCGAGACATGTTACGTTTGCTCACGCAATATTAGAATTTTAGAAGCAACAATAATGGAGCACAAGACGTTTCCTTCATGAAACTAACAAATCAGTTCTGCTACGGATATCAGAACTTATGCGATTTAGCGGTAAAGTTCCGAAATATAGGTACTCTGAACGCTCAGATGAAAGGTGTCGCAGAATTCATGCACCAAAGTCTATTTACAACATCCCTGACACTAGAAAGGCGTGGAGCAGAGATCGGCAAGGGTTAATGGCGCAAGCAGAAAGAGAAGGTAACTTACGCATTTTCGGAGCAAGCAGTTCCGGTCCACAGACCACGCCGACATCAAGGTCGTGGGTGCAGCCGCGAACCGAGCCCCAGCCCTCGCCCAGACTGCAGTCATTCAGAGACTCAGCACCGGCGGGACAGGAGACGCGAGCCAGGTGAATAGGAAGGGTTGTTGGCGAGTCGCCCGGGAAGGCATTGATGAGGGCGTGGGCGTACGCTAGATCGTCACTTAAATTACATAACAGTATTATTAAATTAGCAGTAGCTTACACTAAAACATGGACTATTAAAGCCTCATTTCATGGCAACAAGCGCGTTAATTTTGTTCCACTACATCAACTCAGAAAGTTCAAGTGGAAAATGAGTCACATTATCTCATTATGTAGTAACAAGTGAAATTCACTTGTATTTTTGTAGTTGCTTTTTAAAATCAAAGTTTTTCGCTACATTTGACTCCCATGAGTAGCAATTTGTCTACTTCAAAGTCTGATAATTAGTTTCAAGTGTTAAAAACCATAAGTAATGAATGTCGGGTGTCAAACTTGCGTCCTGCAAGTTACACAAGAGCAATTAGTAGCCATACCTGCTTGAACAGAGCATCCTGCATACCGCTTTGGCCTCGTTTGTTCCGAATCCGTCAGCACAGATAGTACCCCATATGCCAGTCTCCGGATGCTTAACTTCGACACGGCCGGCAGTAGGGCCAAAATTAGTTAGACGAATCTCACTGGAGTTACCAGGACCTAAAGAAGACTTATTGCATTTCAAAGGCAAAACCTTACAAGTTACTGGAGCGAATTTCACTGGCGGAGGTAAATCTGTGCTTTCAATTGAACGGGGTTCTAGACAAGCGATGGCAACATCACGCTTGTGACCTTCACACGCACTGGGTGCCTCGGACGTGAACTCGCACTTACCCAGGTGGACTGAGAGGGGTTCTGGTGGATTCGGTCCAAGTGTTACGCGACCAGTACAATTAAAGCTGGATAGTTTGGTTGGGTAAAGGCTCTTGGCATTCCTGTTTAAGATCGGAACGCCGAAAGGAGGGCTTAAAATAATGAGAAAGAGAACTGACTATGACTCACTATCCCATCATGTAACAAGCCGTGGACGCAGCCACGTGGTCGAAACCAAAGTTACAAATGGACGACCATTCATTAAAGTACTTGACTTCGACTATTCCATCACGACCCAAAGGAAACAGGCCGGAACCAGAAGCAAAACGTATGGCAGAAATGCCACCGACGTCTACGCCGAATATAAAACCTACATAAAAATTCACCCACCCACGGCGAAGGCTTTTTCTACATAACCAGCCAGGCCTATAATAAAAAATGCAGCACAAAGCATCGGTGGAGCCAACTATTTCAACACTGCCTCTTTGGATAACATTGTCTTAATCAAGGCAATAAAACAAAAGCAGCAAGGTAACAAACTAGGATAATGCCAGGATTGACAAGTTGTTGTCCTGAGTTTAATTTCTCTCTATAAACTATAAACATGTTTCTGTATTTCCGTTTTAAATAGTTTACAGTAGCAAAGTGCTTAAAAATACATTCTAATTGGCAGCCGAGCAATTAAAGAAAACAAGAGATGTCAATCGCATTAACGAACTGCAACAAAGTCCTACTTCAAAAAAGATGTAAGTAGTGCAAACAAGATTCAGCAAAGCCCATTTAGAATTTACATATGTTTCTAAACCAAAAGGAATGTTTCGAGCTTCGCGCATTTCAGCTGGTTTTCACTAAAAATGCGAATTTGATATTTTCGAATAAGGCAAAGTCAATGTCTGATTCGTGGGTTAACGCACATTTAGTTTAATCTATAATCACTGCATGCAGTAAAAACCTAAATTTTCCAAGACGGGAAGTATTTATCGTGTCTAATATTAGAGCTCAATCATTTTTCCTGTTAGTGGGATTACGATGATGGCAAAATTTCTGACTATCGTAGCTGCAACATTTCTTGATTGCAAAAACATTTATTTTTAGTTGTGGAGATCGACGGTATCAGTCTTGTTTATGAAAACAGAAACTTTATTTTGTCATTTTGTGTTATATTGATTAGCAGTTACTTTATCAAAATAGTCGTGTGGCGTTTAACAAACGCGTAAATCAAAAACGTTTAGAGAATATTGTTAAACAAGATTCACTAGTATACTGTCAAGTTTCCTAGAATAGTCCACTTATGCATCAAGAATTGCGTAAATGCAAAAAATTAACCGACCTTCTTTTGTTGAATTTTCACATAACGAATCCTTTGAAAGTATACAAGAATCAAATCTGTCTGCGAAAAAATTATTTATGCATTAAGATGTTTTTTTAGTTTTCGGAGAATTATCGCCAAAATCCCTCCTTCAGCATAAATTTTTTTCCGATTCAAAACATTGTGACCAACCTTCCTACAGTGGCCTAGCAACTTAAACTTAAAATAGGAATGGGTATTTGATTATTCATACTATTTTAAATTCACTGAGTTTTGGAAGTAGGAATCTTTATAATTCTCCTTCATGCTTAAGATTTGTTATAATAGTTGTTTTACTTGCCTTTTATTTAACGTTCTGTTCTGGGTATTAGCTTTCGCCTAAAGGTAATCCGTAGCTGCATTGTTAATATGGGATTCTTTGTGCTTTAAATTAATGATATAGCATTTATGCAATTGGAATGTGATGTAATTTCAAATAAAAATTGCTAAATGAGGCTAAATACGTTAATTTGTGATTTCAATGTTCTACTAAATTGCCACCTATTGAAAGTTTTTAATTTTTGACACGTAGCTCTTTCCTTAAATAATATTATTCTGTTTGTTTTGTATAATTTCTGATTTGCTCCGTTACGAGAAACTGATAGTTCCTTGATTTGCCGAAATTTTATATTTACCCCGGTCAAAATATGACTCGTTCTTATAGCTTATTTTTTAGTTTGTAGTGTACTTACTAGCCTTCTTATTTTTCAATATTAAGTATTGTTGGGAAACAACAAAGATGGCAGTATTGAGTTCCATTGATCCGCGGTGCACCTGGCTTTAAGCACCAGTTTCCCACTAAATCACTGCGGTGAAATGCAGTGATTGGAGGTATGCTGGGTTTTGTCTGGCAATGTTTCAACTCACGTTATTTCCTAATACACTGACATTTAAGGGGCAGTACTGTCCTTGCATGTGTCCCTAGGCTGAAAAAATCATGATAGGTAAATTTATTACTATTGTTGCTTGAGCGTTCTCTAATTAGCTCCTTGTATAAACCCCTGATGAAATGCTGACACCGTTAAGGCAGTAAGCCTTAGGAAGTAATTGTGTCTCCAAACAAAAGGCTTAATTGTATTGATATTTCCGTGTCAGCAATCCGCCGAGTTGACTTACTGACTTTTAAGTCCAAAGATTCTATTCGTTTTGATTTTCATGGGGAGGTGATTTACATTAAGTTTAGCGTAATGGGTCGCAGTCACTGACCTCAGGTGCAGTAATTTCACTCGGATCTTTGAGAGTTGTTAATTATGCCTAATTAAGGCTTTTGTCTTTGAAGGTTCAAGCGACTGATTACCTCTGTCTACGTCAACTAGTTTCTCACCTATTCTTATATATTTGGTGTCTGACTTCATGTTTTAGTCTGTGATGCCTCAACACAAATCGAAGGTCGCGAAGAAGTCGCGTGACGAAACGGCAGTGGACGAGGAGGAGCCTTACTTTGTCAGCGTGCGAGATCTTCCCTTCGATGTCCTGCGCCAGCGCATCAACCAATCAGCTGGAGCGGATAGGCGTGCCGCACGAAAGGAGCTGCTTCTGAAAATGGGCGCCAAACCAGAGCGCCAGCCTCCCAAAAACTACCGGGTCCTCATGGAGGAGCGAAAGCAGGCCAAACTCGCCGCCATCACTGACTACAAAAACGTGCGTTGTTTTTTGCCTCATGCTCGCACTGAACACCACTTTCGCGCCAAGTTTTAACTCTGTTTACAAGTTATTCTTGTTGTGAAACGGCGTTAACGCATGTTTTTTTCGTCCCGATTTCACCAACCTCGATGTGATCTAGTTAAAGGAAAGCATTATCAAATTTTACTCAGTCTTCTTGCGCTTTATGTCGAAATTCGTGAAGGCACCTGATCTTAATTGCATCGCGTCTGTTGGTGTCTAGTAGAATCGGTTGTGTGTTGAGTAGATCATTTGCTCTTCGTGATGTTGGAGTAAGCGCCGCATTATGCTTCAGTTATCTTGTATCATTTGATCTTTTCAGGAGCGTTTTAAAAGGACAGTTTTGGAAAGGCAGTTGGGAAAGCACTCAAAAAACAAGAAGCAGAAAAGGAAGGCGCTGAGGAGTGAAAAGGGGTGAGAATTCGCTTGCCATGTTGACAAAAGCGCCAAATCAGCACTTCTCATTAAGTTTTCTCACTTGTTACCCCAAAATTCACGGGTGTAAAGTAGTTTACTTCGCCTGCTCAGATTTGATCAAAGCACGTAATCGCTGTAGTGGCCAACCTTCAGTGAACTTATAAATCGCTGTCTGGAATGCCTTTTCGGTCACGATTGCATATTCTGAGGGCCAAATTCTTAGTTTCTGTGACGAGTCCAAGATATTTCCAGTTATAATGTGCGTGAAATCTCTCGATTCAGTCGTGTCTTTGGCGCTATTCGAGGCTTTGTGTGCAAGGCGGGTGGGCATTTGACGGTGTAGTAGCACTCAATGTTGTCGTGTTTCCTTTTCAGAAAGAAAAAGAGTTCGTCCAGTGCAATCACGCGGATACCGAATCGTCTGGTGAAGAAGATTCGACGAAAAAAGTAGCGAAATGAAGTTCTTTTTTACTGCGCCACGTCTTTCCTCTTTTTCTTCTCCTTAATTTGGGCCAGTCCTCACACTAGCGTCTAACCTAGACGGGCATTACCAGTCTAGCTACTGAAGATCCGGTCGTAAAGTAGGCAGTAGGAATTAGCGCCACTGAAAGATTCCCACCAGCATGCATACTGCCGAACACAGACCCCCCTCGCGCAAAACCACCGCCTGTCACACCTTCCCAACCCTTTGAATCAACCTGAGTATTTCCGTCACTCCCCTGGATCCGCTGGTTTGCTTTAGCACCCGACGCTAGATCTAACCCGGCATCGGCGTGTCTTTTCTGAAGTTGTACAGAAAAGATATCTCAAAATTATGGGGCACACGGACAAAATGGGTCGATAACCCCACCGAAGAACCCACTTAGGCGCAAATAAAGGCAAATCCGAGGTTCTAGTGTGAGGTGGACACTTTGCAATCTTTGACCACCGGAGCAAGAGAATACTTTGAAATAGATAGTATAAATTTGGAGGCACAAATATTCAATGCGGTGGAAAAAAGAACAGGAGATGGAGTGGCAAATAGCCAATAATCACAGATGCGTGTGTTGTCCCGTGGGGAGAGCGTGTTTTTGCATGAAAAATGTGTCACTGGGGCTTCAATTTTTGCTCCTCAGACTGATGCCGATAGCCAGGGCGATTATGATGATGATGACGAGGAAAACAAGCCCGCAGATGCATTTTCGACGTCGCGCCGACTTTCGGTGCTGCACGGCTGACTGCAGCTGCTGGACGCCCGATTGGATCTGAAACAGAGAAGGCGGCACGCACTACTGTGGGCTACTGAGTAGTACAAATTTTGCACTAAACAATTGTTGGAGGAGCCAGTATGCGGTGATTCAACCTACTGCCAGTGAGACAATGAAAGTACCTGGACGTAGGCGGCTTCCGTGTTGGCCTCAATGGAGTCCACGATTTCGCCCTGGTCGTGGACGTAGGCGGCGAGGGTTGTGAAGAGTTCGTTGACGAGGACAATGTCGGCCTCGAGAGCCTCCATCTCACGCGCCATCTGCTCGTCCTCCTGCAACTGGATCATGGCCTGCTGCTGTCGGCCCGTCTGACTGTCACCTGGAGATGTAGCAAAAGCCAAATATTCGGGAGCACGTGTTCCGAAATTACGCTCCAGGTTGATTCTTGGCAGAAGAGTACTTTTACTACACTAATAAGCCTCAGTTCGTAAATGCAAGTTGGGAGCATTTCGCGGGAACTAGGTGCACGCAATCAAAATCTAGTAACAGAGAGCCGACCAAACGGGCATCGCTCGACAGTCATGTTGCAACCTACGCCATGCATGGATTGGGATGCGTAAATAAGCGTTTTGCCCAAGTTGAAACTATTTTTCTCAAGTTGACGCGTGTTTGCGTTGTACGAGTCGGGGGTGATGAAAGTTTCAATGTGAATGATGCACTGTGACCCACCAGAGTGTGAACTGAGTTACCCTGAAAGGTTTCAGGCCATCTCGTGTTTTAGGAAATTTTGCGTGACGATATCCAATCGCCTTAACTAACTAATCCTAAAAGTGCATCACGTAAACAATAATGACAATGTGTCAAAGGTAGCTACGACCACACACGAAAATGCGGGAGGCAGCACAAAGTCCAAGTTGAAAATTGCAATGTGGGCATGATATGATTCACCACTACACCCGGCGTTAGGTCAGCACATAAGCACGAAACCGCGGTGTATCATCATCCACCCACATTTTAATCAGCTGACCGGGTGGTAGATAAAAGTGCCAAGTTGGTGATAATTACGGGTGGTTTTATTATTACACTTCTTCAGTGGATGCACGCCAAGAAGCGGTCGATTAATTGCGGGCCACCTCAACCGGAGAGTTTTACTCACTAACTTACATCCACGCCATTTTTACAGATAATGAAAGTAATGTAGGGATTAGAACGGAGGTACACACCGTTGGTGACCAACAACGTGCTCACCGTCGTAATCTAAGATGGGTCCGCCCGCCCCATGGCCCTGCGCAGCCGCAGAACGCGCCAGAGCGGACACACGTTGAGTCTCTCTGCCAATGCGCTGAATTCGGGTGGTTTGGTTTATCGCTTGTTCGTGTAGACTTCGAGCTCGAACACGCACATCATCACTGACGCCAGGAGCATGAGAAGCACTGTAAAAGTTTATTCGAGACAACGAAAATAGGTATATTAGATATTCACACTTAAATTGCGCGAAGCATTATACATCCATAAAAAGATCAAGCAAGGTTTCTGAGAGTAAAGTTTCAAAAAAGCAGATAAATTAATAATAGAAACAAAAAGACGCCAGGAAATCCAAAAAGTCGCCAAAAAGCGATAGTAAAGCATCGCTCACAGATGTATTCGTGAACAGCAGTGTAGTAACACAAAACAGTCCCATTATGATCAAAGTTACTTAATAAAAAAGTCGAAAAAGAGACAACCAGCTGGCACTTACGCTCTTAGGGCCTTAAGGTGTTGCGAGAGATCTTTTGTG